ACAAGAAGTCAAAAAACATTCTTCCTAGGGAAATTATTATAGTATGTTATAATTTCAATACGAACTTATAAAGCATTACTGTAATTCATCGTTAGCTATCTGCAGATAGAAATAAATAGACGATTAAATGTAGAACATAACATATTTTATAAATTATATTTTTCTTCACCAACTCATTAAAATATATTCAAAATAAGTTTTCCCGCAATCACATAAGAATTCTTTTGTAATATTTTCCTTAATAGCAATTAAATTTAAAAATATTTCTGACAGAAGCTTTGTATAACGCCAGTTTTATCTAGTTATGAAATGAAGGCTAAATGTGGTAAAGGACCGAGATCCCCAGTTGTGCGTGTGCAAAGGTTTCACGTGTTTGTAACTTTCTTTAGCACACTTGCCACACCTGATCCCATGTGGGTCTTAGACTCAGAAGTCCTTCACTTAATCGTACACCAGTAAGTCAAACGAGCGAAGGATTTGTAGTTAATAATCCATCGATCTTTTATAATTAACCCACTGGGAGACATATTTCATTGAAAATCGAGTTAATGACATTACTACATTGCAAAATGTTATGTCCATAATATAATTTTTAAAATCGGGGCATATTTAATATAATCCAGCCATTAAGCAATGATGTGAAGTAGATAAATAGTATTTTTCTCAAAAGCGTGTTATATTCACCAGATAGTGAAAAGTCACTAAGATACACCACTTATGCCCAAATTTTAGTCCCTATTATAAACCACTTATGTTCAAATTTTGAAAATTAACTCATAAATTTTTATTTTCAAAGATTAAAAATGGGTCATAAAAATGATTACTATTTACTTAAAATATGAATGCTATGGAAATAAACCACTTAAATATACTATAGAGTAATTCATTCACTGAAATTAAAAGATTAAAAATTGGTCATAAAAATCATTAATATTTACGTAAAATAAGAATGTTATATAGATAAACAAGTTTAAAATGCTATAGAATCATTCGCTCGATGAAAATGCATGTAAAAAATCTTTACATAACAAACATGTAAATACTGCATAATTTTATAAAGATTCCGTACTGTGTGCTTAAGTTATAGTTGAATGTGAAGAATCTAAAGAACTAGTAAGAGAATAAATGCTTGAGTTCGTGAGGCAATAATTAAACTTGAAGAGTTAAAAGACCCTATATTATGCAAAGAAGATTTAACAGAACTCCGTCTTAGAGTTTTATAATAAAGCCGACACTCGGGCTTGAACTTAGGAAACTAAGATTAAAACTTAACTATTCTTAACTAAAAAGATATAGCCGAAGCTATCAAGATTCTAACGGAGTTGGTCCCTTAACGCTAGCTGACTGCGAAGCTATCAGGGGCCTAAAGCACGGACGAGAGTAAAAATAGCTTAAGAGAGAATAGCCTAAAAAGGCGGACGAGTGCTACCCAGAATATCTGGTTCTCTCTGACTAAGACAGTAGAACTTCGCGGTTAAATACCACTCTTCCTCAATTTGTGATTCCTCAATTCCTCAATTCAAACGTGATTCTAAAACTGCGTACTGACCGGAAGTGGTAAGTTGAAATTAAGAAACGCTAGGAAAGGAAGTTTAACTTAAAATTTAACTGTTAATAAAATTAACAAATTCCTTACATTTTAAAAAAGATTGTAACATAACTAGGTGGGACTCGTCTCTGACTGCGTGGCAGCTTCGCTTTTAATTATCCGAATTATGAATTTCGTTGCCTTTATCTGTTTTTATACAAAAGCATTTCAGGAATATGATATTTTTTAGATTCACTTGTAGATGGAGAAGGAAATAATATTCAGCCGCTGAAAGCACTTTTACTGAAATAAAAATCTAATTTCAATTAGCGTTGGGATTCTTGCATTCCGTTCCACTTGCAGTATCAATTTTATTTGGCCGGTTCTAATCCTCTTAGATGAAAATAAATTATTTATGTTTAAAATTTTAAAAAACTAAAAAGCAACAGGCCTAAATTTATACAGAAGAAATTGTCTGGAAAATGCTAGATGATAAATATATGCTTGGACCATAAGTTTCTGAATGATGTTCAGGTATATAAGCACGGACAAATTCAATAGATTTCCCAAAAACGTAAACGGTGGCCAACAGATTATTATATCATAGTAATCTAGATCTGTAGTATATGTAAAAATATGTTTGCAAAAAGTAAAGACTCTAAAACTTTACAAGAAATATATTGGATAATGATATAAATCGCTTGTGAAATATAAAATTAAAAATTATTATTTTCCTATCAAGTTTCTTTCCTTCTAGTTAAGAACCGATTTGTATCATTTAAAGAATATTAGTTTTATTTGCCCTCGATAAATTAAATAAAGGAGTAGTTGTAAATATATAGATTTTTTCTTGAATATTTTTCTGTTCGAAAAAACAGGTCATTTTGATTTCTTCAAAGAAGTAGGCATAAAGTGATCAGATATCCCCCATTACCGGCGGAAATGATCTCGCATTTGAACTTGAAATTCGAATCCTTCAGGATTTTTATTTTACAAATGCTTAACCAAAATGCATTAAAAATAAAATAGGAAGGTAGATATATCAGAAGCAAGTTTAGTTTCAAATCATTTGGAAATTATTCTGATTAATGAAAATTTAAATCAGTGCGTTCTTTGTTGAGATTTCATGTTTAAAACAATATATGTTAAAGAAATAAAAAAAGGGTTCAATGTTAACCATTCCCCGTGCAACGGTTGAACACATTAACTACGGCAGATGTCGAGTTAAAAACTCGTCGGGGAAGGCCAGACCCATCGATCATTTAGTGGTTTGATCAATGAGAATATTACCTACGTGCACCACAGGGAAGGACCAATTTTATACTTGCGATGAAAAGGAATCAGTTTGGGTGAACACACCAAGGCACGAATCCAAGTGTTTTCTATCCTCTTTCCTTACTAGCAGCCTCTCGAAAAGACTTCCGGCTCTCCAGTATTTTAAGTGCCCCATGCCGTAAATACACTGAACGTTTACAAACATCCTTGCCTTCTCCGGTATTTCAACTCGGATTCAAGGTCATGGCACCCTGCCATAGCCGTGCCAAAAAACGCTAGCTTCCCTACCACCATGCCAAAAAAGTCGGTATGAATATTACTGTGAGATCTTATATAATATAGGTGGTGGTCTCCAGACATTTTGAATAGAGTGCGAAACGCATTTGAAAAGAACTGTTGGAACTGTGCCTGTCCAGACTTAAGAATAGTAGCTGAATTTGAATCTGCTATTCAGTACTAATGCGCTTACTGAAGGGATGTGCAATTAATAATATAACTAATTAATTAGTTAATACTAGGCATTAAAAGGAACTGAACTGAAACTTGAGACACTAAAAAAGCAATATAAGGAAACCAAACATAACTTGAATACTCTCGGTGAAGAGCTTAACAAAATTTAAAAACACCTGTTTAAAAAATTACGCATTTCTGAAAAACACATGTTTTGTTGTAAAATAATTTGCACTCTTACATATCATTAATGCTAATAAAAGATATTGCTTGAATAGAATGCAGTTTGCCCTCTTCATGTTATAAGTTTTCCGTTTGAGTAGAAAACAACCCTCTTAATCACTGTTATTCTAACATGAGAGAAATTACCTGTTTTATCCAGCCGGTCTTGAATATCTTATGTTCAGGATAAGCATATTTAATATTCGCACAAAAAAGAACTGCTAAATAACATTTGTTATCTATTAGTGAAACGAAATAATCAAAACTTTTAGTAAAAATTTTAAAAACTAGATTCTGACTTTAATAGAATATATCTGAAGTATTGTGAAAGTAATTTATTTTCTTCCAATTTACGTCTTCACCCTAATTCACAACAGATTAGCAGCGCAAAAATCTGCCTAGCGGAAATGAACAGGTCTGAAATTGAACATGTTGAGTTAAAACTGCAGTATAGAATAAAATAAGAATAAGGTGATGCAAGACTGAAGAGTTATTAAAATTGTTTTTCAGATTTTAGGAAAAAAAATGACGCAGAAGAACATAACGAAAGGTAACATTACAGAAGCTCTGCTGAACTTTGCAAATTATATTCTTTCCTCCGAAAAACTTGACAGCTGCTGCGTCCTGTTTTACGTGGCATTTAGACATGAATATGTCCTTGCTATTTCATAATCGCTATTAATCAAGATGAGTCAGTAAAAAACGTCTCTTTAAATAAGATGATGAGACATAAATCGCTTCGCTTATTTACATTTAGAGTAAACAGAGGATGGAGTTGAAGAAATTGTGACAGGTATGAATGCAAGGAGAAAATAAAATGCTAAAATGTTTTTAAGAATTGGAGGTGAGCGGGATCTTTAAAGTACAACAAGTGCTTTTAGCAAGAACAAAGAATCAGTGATTTCCGAAACCCGCTATGAAAGTTTTTCAAGAGCTATTAGAGTATTTATTTTTCAAATTAATATAACATAAATATAATTAAACGTAACACTTTTGCTTGAAGATTTCAGTTATAAATAAATTTAATACAGAAAATTCAGTTAGTGAAAATGCAGACGAAAACGAATTAGTTTCCTTATGGTAGTTTCGCCTCACTAGCAGGAAAATAATTGCATTTCCTTAAAAAATAACAGAAAACATATATCGTTATTTTTAGCTCATAATTCTCAGATTTAACTTTAGTCCTCATAAATAACAATGAAAGCTTTTAAGAAAAATTCACAAGAAGGTTTTTATAAAATGCTTGACTTGCAATAAAATGAAGCAAATATTCTCGAAATTTATTTGTGACTTTGTCGATTAATTATCAGATTAGAATATTTTAATAAATAAAAGCATATAAAATTAAATAAATATTTTCATAAATATGCCTGAAATTATTTAGCCAGTTTGTTGTCTAGCTTTCTGATCATTTTATTTCATAACAGAATATTAACGGATTTTGATATAGCTAGATTTATATATTTTGATATAGCTAGATTTTATAGAATTTCGAGGAAAATAAATAAAAAATAGAAGTGCTTACTTTTGGGATGCCTCCAGCTCGTATATCATTCACTTGCGAAAGTTCAAGAGCTTGACCGTCCTGTAATAATAATACACATAAATGGATAAAGTATTTGCAAAAATACATGTTTTAAAGCAAACATAAATCTCAAATAAATGGTACGTTTATGAACAGTTAAATTATATTACACTTAAGTTTTCTCGATAAAAGTTTATTTGGCAGTTTTATATTATACTGCGTAAGAGCTTATTTAAGGTACAGCGTATCCTAATTTTTTCTGAAATTTCTAATCCTTAGAGATATTTCATAAGTTCATTACACGAATGACGAGACATTGATTTATAAAACTTGTAATGTTTCTAACTACTTTGTCTATGCTTAACTTCGTAGAAACCTAGTTGAACTATGTAGCGACTTATCGCTGAGTCCAGGTGTGTAAATGAAAAGTCCAGAGAGGGGTTAAACTCACCCATTTTTTATCTCACACTAAGAACACAGATGGCCGCTTTCTCGGGCTTACAGAAAAGCCTCCATATGGGCTTTAAATCAAGAAAAGAAAATAAGAAACTAACCTAACTAAGTTGAATATGGAAACCTTACAAAATTATCTAACGTTGTTGGCCCTTAATTAAACTAAAAGGCGAATATCAGCAGGCTCGTTCAATACGGCCGAGCATAGTAAGGTTTAAACAGGAAAGCAGCCTGAGGGCAAACACGCGCCACTAAGGACTTTTAAGCTCTTCAACTGAAGTAAGTGAAGCCTTCCTTTAAATGCTTTTTCTACCTCATTTGCATGCAAAGCGATGCTAAAAACTTATTCTGGTAGGGAATAGTAGATGGGAAACGATAATATACCGCAGAACATGTTTAAACGTTAAAATAACTGCTAGAAATTTAAAATAACCTCTACAAACTTAAACAGGATTACTGCGGTTACCAATAAAAAATGATCAACGATAGATACCGGGTGGTTGAAAAACGATTATGTTATTTGTTTTGTGCAAAACGGTTCACATTTATGTTGGACATTAAATGTTTGAATATAATTTCGTATTGGACATTAAATGTTGTATTAAACGTATTGGACATTAAATGTTTGAATATAATTTTTTTATACAGCCTTAAATTTTAGAATTTATGTTAATTGTATATACTGAGTATCAGAGCATGTCGCAAAATAACTAATGTATTTTCAACCATTTAACTTCAGTAAATTTCTTTCTCCTCTGAGAGCAAATAATAGCTATTTTCACCTTTAATGGCAGGTGAGAACATCGCCGTTTTTTAGATTACGTCGTCATTTTTAACATGGGAAAGCACATGAGAGCTCTCTCCTTAAGAGCAGAGCAGAGATTCATTCGTAAAAGATTTTCTGAGGGAAACTGGCTTGTTGGCCTCTACAACTCAATACGATTCTTTTGGCTATACGGCTGTTTAACTGGAGTTACTATATATACAGGGGTTGGACAAAAATATGGAAACACCTTTAAAAAAACATGTTTCTTTGCTTAATATGGTGTAGGAAACTCGTTAGCAGACAAAAAAGCTTGCAGTCTTCTCGGAATGGACAAATACAGTTCCTGTATGTTTGCCAAGGGAATATTATACCATTCTTCCTGCAAAACGGTGGCAAGTTCAGATAACGATGTTGGCGGTGGATAACGAGAACGCACTTTCCGTTCCAATGTAGACCACAAAGGTTCGATAATATTCAGGTCTGGCGACTGTGGCGGCCAGGGGAGATGGGACAACTCATCCTCGTGCTCAGAAAACCAGTCCTGGACAATGTGAGCTGTGTGAATAGGGGCTTTGTCGTCTTGAAAGACACCATCACCATCGGGGAACAAAGTTTGTACCATGGGATGAACTTGATCGGCCAAAATGTTCACATAAGTCTTGGCAGTCATGTGCCCTGACACAGTTATCATGGGGCTAGCAGAGAACCACGATATGGCTGCCCAAACCATAACTGAACCCCCGCCATGTTTCACTCTTGGCAACAAGCAGTCTGTATTATAGGCTTGAGATGGCGTTCTCCAGACGTAAACTCGGCCAGAAGTGGGAAACAATGTGAAAGAAGACTCGTCAGACCATATTACTCGCTTCCACTGCTCTATAGTCCAGGCTTTATGACTTAAACAAACACCACCTTTTCCTGTTACGGGCATTAGCATCACTGATGAGTGGCTTCTCAATTGCAGCACGGCCGGCAATTCCCTGTTTTTATGAAGCTCCCTTCTAATTGTTTTGGTACTCTCACAGGGTTCGGTAACACAACATTCATTTCAGCAGTAACTTTTGAAGAAGCTGTGGTCTTCTTATTTTTCGTCACAATTGCCCTTAATGATCGTCTGTACCGATCACTCAGGACACACTTCGTCCGCGCTGTGATTTAGCAGATGATGTTTTTCCGCTTTTCAAATATGCGGAATAAATCTTTCGATACAGTACCTCTTGAAACACTAAACACCTCGGCTACCTTGCTTACGGAAGCACCTACCATACGTGCTCCAACAATTTGCCCACGTTCGAAGTCTGTTAACTCTGACATAATGCAATGACAACCTCACATAACAGTACTCCGACAATAACTGAACTGTTTAGCACATTTACGAAGTTGTATAGGTGGCGTCAGTAGTCAAAAATGCCAGCGCCACCTACATATTTCATTAAAATTAATCTTTCTTTTCAAACATGCATTTCACAAGGTGTTTCCATATTTTTGTCCATCCACTGTATTTACTTCGAATAGAAGTAAAACCAGTAATGTTGCACACACTAACAATCTATCTGCGAAATTCAGCCTTAATTTGGCAACAGGTTTACAGGAAAACTGTACACATTTCAATGGATTACGAAATAGGTCTCTGTTCCTTGAAGAGAAACTATTTTTGCCGATACGCAGGTCTTGAGTTTTGAATAAACTGTGCTTTTAGAAAAAAGTATTGAGACAACTTTCGAAATGCTGGAATATTTTTAAATTTAAAATTAACGTTGACCTAAAATTAATTTTGCTTTATTTCAGAAACTGCAGGTTTTCTTACATCTAGCATACTAGTGGCAGAGTGGATAAATTCCCTGAACACTGGAAATTTCACTTGAGTTTGAATTGTAGTGAGCAGGCTAGTTACATAAGCGCTTTCTTGTGTTTCTCCCAATTTAACGTGAACAAGAGGAACTTTCTATTAGAAAGCCTTCTCCAAAGGCATCCCTTAGCAGGCAGCCTTCGCGGGCTTTTTCGTAATCCATTAAATAAGTAGATTTTACTTATTTTGTAGGCCTCATATGTATTTTGACGAATATAATTAATATTTTACATTTATAATTGAAATTTTCGCTAACTCAACCAAAAACTGTATTAGCTAGTAACAATAGCTATTTGTAACATATAAAATAAAGTCATAAAGACCTAATGTTTAATCAGTTGCCATTTATAGCTCTCCCAAAAAATGTTCTCCTAAATGAGATACATATTCTCATCGGTTCTTGTTAAGGAAAACGGTTAGTCAAATTTTGTCAGAATGCATCCCAAACAATTTTTTTGGTGCACTCATTGCCAATTAATTAGGTTTCATTTACACCTGGACACTTCAGTACGAAAGAGGTCTTGGCAATACGAAAAAATAGTATAAGTTTATAGCTTAACTGCTGACAAATATGAAATATCAATGATCATGAGTGGGTGGTTTGTGCGGACCAAAAATTATAGACTTTTCTCTTTCTTCAAATACAGTAGCTGAATTTATAGGTCTTAAAACTGCAGACTTATAAAGTAGAGATAAATATGACTAAGAGTGGATCTTGGAGGTAAGTTGCAGATGTTGGAGAATAAAATGTAATTGATTAGCCTTTAAATGGTCATGGCAAAATCCTCCTGCCACCACTATACACCAGATTCAGAATGAAACCATTTTGTTAAATCTTTAAGATACTCGCCTTCTAAATTTTTATCAAGTAAAGTTCCTGAATGAAAAAACTGAAACAAGGGAATTTTAATATTCTCCAGATAGGATAATTTATAACAGATTCACATTTCATAAGTTCCACGAACATGAGAGAGCGTTGTGCCTGATCATTGTTGGTTTAAGTTATCGAAATTTTATTTGCGAAATATATTTTAGGAAACAACACTTGATCTGTAAAGGATATGTTAAAATTTATTATTAACACAGATACTTGGATCGTTTACCTAAAGAATTTGAATGGTGTAAAAGAAGAGCAAAGAGAAAGGTTTTACTGAATTATGAAAATACGTATGTGAAACACACGATATTAAGAAAGGTGCGATATTTTGCATAATGGCGAAATTCTGAGTCTTTAGCAAGATCTATTAGTAATTCTTTCTGTGGTAATTAATATGAAAACATTTTCCATATTCAGTAATATATTAACTTTATCTAGGCTTGACTTTTAAATAACATTAAAATTATTAGACTTTTAAATGCATCAAAATTAATAATATGTAATGATTTTATAGTCCTATGAGGTAGTTATGCTATGCAATATGTTTTATATTATACTCTTGTTTGTGTTACCTGATGTATGCAATGAAATAAGTAACTTCGAATACTCTTGAATTATAATGTAACATGAAAAGTCTGAAGAGAAGAAAAGCTTTGCGGAAAAATAAGATGGCACAGGCAAGTCTATTTAACACTGAGGAAAATGGCTACTTCATTAAATTGGCGAGATGTCGCTAAACTGACGATAGCTATGGAGACTATTTTTTATCGCCAAATTTGGCGAGAAATCAACAAAGATTTGGGGATTACTCTTACAAATTCATTTTATTCTCAATATTAGGTGGCTATTCTGTAACTCCATAACTTTAGCTTATACGGAGACGCCGAGATCAGTTTAAATTATACGAGTATTAGGAATATATTGAAATTTCACATTATTTATAATTTAATTATTAAAAAACTGCACCCAATATAGCTTATTATCAAGACTGCAAATCCCGCATGCACATGTTGCGTTCTACGGGTTCGTGGATTGGGAGTAATTGATGATAACACTTCAGGAAGAATCAAAACACATGTTATTCGCTAATAAGCACTATTACACAAGACAGTTCCAAAGACACGTTTACACTCGTCGAAAAACTAAGACAAATATGTTGAAACAATCAGTAACAGCCTATAACGGTGAAGGCAGCTTCATGGCAAAGTAGAGCTCCCAACTCGGACGATCGCTCTCAAGCTAATCTCTGAGCTTAAGACACTGCTTTCTCCCCGTACAAGTATTGTATTATATATTTTTAACCTACCTTAGAAATTATTTCCGGGAAAATAGCTAAAAATGCGTTCTAGAATGTTCTCGCTCCGTCTATGACATATTGCCAATTTTGTCGCTTAGTATCGCCACACGGCAACTCGCGCCAAATCTGGCAACCCTACGCCCGCCGCTGACTCACGCTGCTGAGCCGGCAGTCTTGTTTCTCCGCTCCGATGGAGAAGCACCGTTTTCGATCACTTTAGCGGAGAAGTTATTTCATCGGGCAGCCGTTGGGCATTTCGCAACAATATTGATGTTTTTAAAGAAATTTTCTTATTTATGTTGAATAATATCACTTATTTTTATTTAATTTCATTGGCAAGGAGCATATGGATTATCAAATTCGCACTGTTTCTCGTCATTGTTCATAAGGAAGCACCGAACGACCGCAAAATGCCAGTGTCATTCTTTATCTCTTTAGTCTGGTGTCAGAGTTTTATGCATCGATTTTTTTTTAATGTTTATGCTTCTGCCAACAGATTAGGAGTTTAAAGTGCTATTCTAAATTAAAACAGTCATTTAACATTTTTATGCTATTATTTCATTTTAATAAAACACAATTTAATAACTTTTATATTAATTGCCGTAATAACGATGCCGTTTATGACAGAATAATTATCAAATAGTTTGGAATTATAATTACAGCAGAAATAGCTTTTCTGCCTCATCAATAATCTATAATAATCAGGATGTCATCAAAAATCTGGAAATAACTGAAATGCGAGACTTTTTTTCTCCCCCCCCAGCTTATAAAGGTATCTTGATAACAAAGGAAAAACATAAACAATGTAAGATATGTTATTTGCGAATTCGTGCAAAGGCTAAACGGCATATTCAGTAGAATGAACAATAGTTTGCAATTAAATTTACAAGACGTGACAGAAGGGACACAAGGACGAGAAGTAATAATGCAGCCTTCATTTTATAAAGCATTACTTACACGCACAAGATGTAATAATTCACTGATAATCACAATGGCGTGTTTCCTGACATTGAGAAAAAATTCGAAGTAAGTGAATGACTATATATGTAATTATTCTACTTCAAACAAGGAAAGTACTAAGGTTTTTCTCATTACTGTAAAGTGATCCTCCTAGCAGAAAATGCTTTTTCTCAATTTAAAAAAATTGATGTAAACTATATCTTTAGAGCTCATTTTTAATAGTTGTTTTCTGGACCAGAAAGTAGGAAAATTCTAGGAAATCTTTTCCATTTTGTGATTGGTTCTGCATAACTCTCATCCGTTCCAACATTAGCATATAAAACTATGCTATCTCTCCTAAGAAGGAAATTTCGACTTGGTAATTAGTAGTTTTGAAAGCCTACAGTATAATCTAAACATATTTCAGTAATATAGACTTCATGTAATTTAAACAGACTGCTGGTTTGTTGATTGAAAGACTGAAAAAGATTGCTGGATTGCTAGTCTAGATTTGATGCAAAACAGAAATAAAAGCATTTTGAAGATAAATAATGAGAAAACGAAACAAAGTTATTATTCATTGGTACAATTCGTACAGTTTAGCACAATTTCGTTTTAAAAAATATTATTTAATTTCAGGCAAATTTGGAAATTTCTAAAGAAATGTCGCTTAGTATAAAAGATAGCCTGTGAGGTATTTTATATTAATTAATAAAGTTTCTTGATTTGAATCGGTACTATAACTTCTCCTTTTTGTTAGCTCTCACCAGTAAGAGTATATATGATAAGGTTTTGAACATTTTAAATATCGCTTTTGGCAGCAATGCTTGCAACTTTACTTTCTTTGGTGAAGCTCTGTCATTTAATATTCTCACATTAGGCATTTGCTAGCCGAAGTTAAATCAGGCTATTATAGTTTGAGCCAGTTTAATTAGGCTAAATTTGTGTAGTCTTAGGCTACGATGCCTTTTTTAAATTATTGATTCAACTTTAAGTTGTACTTTCCGTTCAAGTTAAGCTTCAATAAAAAGCTTTACTTAAAAATTTCATAACGTTTTATCGCACATTTTCAGACGAAGTGATAATTCGCTTATCAGTGTAATACGGTTTGAAGAACTTTACGTTAATATTTCACAGTTAAGAGCCGGTAAACTTTAGGATCTAAATATGCCATATTTTCCAAATTTTCCATGTCAGACAGACGTGATATTTTCTTACCACAAAATTCCTTTTAATATGATAGATTTCTTGGGTATAGGAATTCTTAGTAAGCAAATAATAATAATAACCTATTGTTACAAGCTTGTTTAGATACGAGCCTTTTGGGATATTTTGGCAAAATGATTTGGGTAACTTGGCATAAATTTTCAAAACTTAGGTAGTTTGCTCAGATTCCTACATCCTGTGGCTGGTTGGACAGACTGCATGCTATTTCTTAGGTTTCCCCATGCGCTATAAATATAAAAGCCAGTTTTCCTTAGAGAGTTTCCAGTGAGGGTGTCCAACTGAGTAAATGGAAATTTTAGTGTACAGGTTCCCGTGCTGCACCCTTAAAAATAAGTTCTCCAAAAAGCAGTTTCCCGCATCCATGTAACGTAATTTTTCAAGGTTTGCTCGAGAATCATATCAGGCTTAGCATTCAATGATTCAATATCGTGGCCTGTAAAATCTGCACCAACATGTCAGTTTTTGAAATGTTCCTGCAGTTAAGACGGCTTCCGATTTACGTTCCAAAATACGACTCTACAAATTATGCATTCATGTTATCTGTATTAAAAACGACGGCAGGGGAAGACCTTCAAGAATCGATCTCGAATTTTTAATAAAAGGAAAAAAGGACATTTAGACTGTTCAATAACCTGAAAAGGACAAATGTAATTTTCAATTTAGGTTATTCTACGTTCTAAATGCGTATTAAGTAAGTATGATGTAGAAATGTTTGCGATAGTGACTATGTTAACATATTTTTATTTTTGTATTTCATGCAAAAATACAGCTTAGAAGGCAAACCACTTCCTTGTAGAGCTCGGCGAGAACGTCTTGGAAATCCCGCTGAATACTGGAAACTATTAAGAATTAGCAAAGGATGAAGGACAGTGCATTTTAGAATAAAAAGATCTTTTTATTTTAATTTTCAAAAATAAATTAATGTAAAAACAGTATGCAGGAGATAACCAAATGCTTACTATTCTTCAGATGGCGATCATGTTCTCCCCGTTTTATGACCTACGAATTTTCCTCCCGAGGCACTTTAAAGACAATGTCTATGTGCCCTCCCTGCTAGCAATATTACAGAAGATCCAAGGCAACATAAAAACCTGCTTTGGTGACCATTAATTATAATGTTTATAACGCTCATGGGCAGAATCTGAGTATTTGGATGTGTATCATGTAATAAGCTCCTATCAAACATTTATAATGTTATGGCTCACATCGAACATTTATAGCGTTATAGTAGAATGACTAGAGTTTGAAAGCCTTTTATTTCATTTTGAGGAAGATTTAATTTTTATTTGCAATATTTTAAAAATAAAACATTTTGAAATCCCATGAATCATTTGTATTAACTTCATATAATGTATTATAATAAATCAGAATCTGATTGGATTTGGGTTTATTAAATCACAATAAAGCAGCCTATCTATCTAAGAGGAAAGTTGCTTTCGTGGAGAATGTTCTAAGGGCTACACGGCTACACATTTTCAACAGGATTTATGTTACTCACAGAGAAAATAACAGAAACAACCTACACATCCAGCCCATTCCCCACGATCTGAAATCGGATCAAACCAGTTTACGATGATTTCATTCGTTCGTTGCTGGCAAACGAATCTGACTACAGATGATTTTATTTATTTATTTGTTTCATTCGCATATGAATAATGCACATCTTAATTTGATATAACAATTTTTGAATCTAGTAATAACTCTTTCTATCTCTCTATATCTATTTATTGTGGTTGGTAAATCTTACCCTTCCTTCGCTTTTCCAGTAGATGAAGAAGCCATATTCATCGACCTTGAATAAGGCGTTGGGTTCATAAGCGACTTGTTCTTTTTCCTGTAAAATATTATAAAAAATAAATACAAGTATAGTACTAAATTAGAACAATTTCAGTGAGTAATAAAAAAATTTAAGGATTAAATTCTCTGTTTCGCAACTTCTTAATTTTACAAAAACATTTAATCTTATTTCACAATATAACTGCTTTCGGAGTTGAGATTAATTCCTATTACTTTGGTCATTGCACTAATGCATGAAATTTAATTTTTTGAAAAATTTTATTCATCTCTTCTGCAATAACACTTTTAAAAACTTCTCTCAAAGTAGAATTTTCCTTTCATATATTTCCTTTTCCTTACAGGAAATAATCACATGATGCACAGCATGAGAACTGTTTGGCAGTTACTGGTAAGAACTTATGAAATAAACTTTTGAATCACTGTCAAATTTTTAAAGCCTCAAGAAAAATGCTATTTTTTTTAATTTTGCGTCCTTTCAAAATAGAAATGTTTCCACTTCACTTTCGGGTAATGTTTAATGATAATCCACATGAGCAGCAGGCGACGATAATGAAGCCTGTTGACCTACCACAGGTCATACTGTGGAAAAAGCAGAGAGCTTTATCTACATTAATTAAGCCTTTTATGATTTAATAAATGGAAAAATTTTCAAATGACATTAGTTTATGATGGATTGGTTGCTTAGCTTATGATGGATGATTAGTTTATGATTATTTTTCTAATAACTTTTCCCTTACCTTTTGGCATCCCTGTGTTAAGCAACTCGTTTCAAGCATACGTTTTCACATTTTTTGTATTCAATTTCTAGAGGTTAATTCTTAAACTAGAAGGTTTGTCGTACCTTTTTAGCTTAAAACTATTTCATGCGTTAAATTAAAATCTAAAGCGAAAAGCACTTTGAAGTTTCTTAATAGTGATTTTTATATTTTTTAATATTAAAAATATTTCCTTTATAATTTTTGTGGTCATTTTTTCTTTCGGAAGTTAGACAATAATCTGGCATTTTCAGATTGCAAACGTTTTGCTATTGCTTCCCATGACACGTTCTTCTACAAATCCATACAGAGAAAACTTCAAAGCTTGCCATCTGTTAAAGTAGGTTTCTCATCAGCTTAACAAACTGAATCTTGAGAAACAATTGGTCCTTCCTAATAGCGTTTATAATAAGTGGCATAAATGTTCATATCATTATAATAAAAGATGTTTATAACGCCATGAATATGTATATCGGTAAGAGAATTTCGTATTCTATATCCTTGCATAAAAAACTGTATTATTGCCTATTAGCAATAACAAAAAAAAATCTAGTGACAAAGAAGAAGTTCTGCACTTGCTGATTACAATTTGAGAAAATCCTTCTCACATTGTTTATTCGTAAAATCAAGTATGTACTTGTAGTACGCAATCCCACCTAGCACAAGAACGTTCAGAGAATGTTCATAGTTGGATATATCACGGACATGTCCAAAAAACGTCTGTATGTGACAGTTCTAAAAATGGACATAAGTACGTTCAGATATTTTTATTTCTAGTACTTCCATATATAACGTGCTATGAACACGCCAGCAAATCGTTACTGTTACCTTCGAGCAGAACGTTTTGAGCAGTTTGTATGTATAAGAGTTCTGTCACAGACAATATCCTGTTAAATACCGGCACTGATAATAATTTTGTATAATATTATTAAAACGTTCCTGAAAAAAAGAATCGAAATTTTATTGTTAATACTGTTATTGCTTGCAAATAGACACAAATGTAATCATAAAAAAGAAAAATTAGTTCTAAAAAGCTCTAAAATTATTAATGAATTTTTTAAAAATAATTATGCCATCTTCCAAACGAATCCGCAGATAATTTTCTAATCGTAAAGTCAAAAACCATTAGCATTTTCTTAAAAGTACAGAGCCCATTATACTGTTATTTACATCTTTGAATGTCATATTTTATCAGCACTGCTTGTAAAAGTAATAAAGACCGTTTTCAGGCATGTAACATCATCATAATAGTCGCTATTCGAAGGATAAACAGTCGTATTTGTAACGTGAAGAGCATTCCCTTCTTGCAACCTATGATAAAGCATTTCGGAAAATATCAGTTTTATACATAGAAGCATACATGCTGTTATTAAGTTATGGTTATATAATAAATTTGGTTAATAAGTTACACATGCAGTTGGGTACGAGTTCAGATTATGGTGCAGAACGTTATAAAGGCCAATCAGCAACATCTTAGCAAAACGCTGTCTTAACGTTCTACGAATGTTCCAGTGCTGCTTGGGATGAGTATTCATTCTACAAGAAATGTAATATACATTGCGTCACTCATTATGCGACTAAATTTAACAGTCAGAGTGCTCTTTATTATACGTATATTTTTCATGTGATTTTCAGCAGGATCATAAATAGCTTCATAAATTTCACGTAATCGCTTTGGCGAAGCAATAAATCTTTTACAATTATTTGCCGGCATTTTCTTACCTTCTTCTTTAAATGCTTTTTATTTTAAGCTTTCTCAGTTATTTTTTAGGTATCCCTGCAGAAAATAAGAAATGTACCTCAAGGAGCAATATTAAGGAAAGATCACAGACTTCTATGAGAAGGAAGAAATACGAGACTGTGAAATTCTACGAGACGTATGACAAAGAAGGTGAGACATCTTAATGGAACATACAGCTCTCGCTAGGGTAATATTTATGTTCTCTCATAATATACTACAAACCTTATTTTAACGGTATACATTATTCATTTGACCTTTCGCTTTTTAAATAATGATTTCATCAGTTCTTGTGGTTACATAACAAACCGTATCATGACCAAAAATATCAACTTGAACTTCTGACCTCCGCATCCTGATAGTGAAGCTTTTACCTACCCTATCTTTATTTCTTTGGTAGTATGAGTATACGTGAGGCAGCACACTTTTATATGTGATCCAGTTTCCCGTTTACCACGGCAACGTTTTTATGTGATCCAGTTTCATCGCATAATCTTCGATATGAATAGCATAAGAATATTTTTTGTACTTTTCAACGGCTGTTCGTGTCAACTTAAGCATAAAAAGGTTCAATAAAGCATTTCAATCCTAATTCTTTAACGTATCATTTCAAATTTAATTATTAAATCGCTCCATCGCCTTCATTTCCTAAGACAGGTGTTTTCGGCAGTCAGAATTCGAATGAACTAGCTGTTTCGATCTGACTTAAGCATTTCAGCACTTGCTGTTATCCGCATTTTATCCTTAAAATACATGATTTTTATCAATAGCAGAGATATCGAGAGTATTTAATCTATTTAAACAATTTTGAAAAGAAACAATAGTAAAATATACAGTTTTTAAAAGTTTTATTTAAGATCTAATTAAAAAGACACTTGTTTCAAATGTTGCGAAACCTTTTATTTGACCTTCTGTTTGAGTTTATGAATTAGTGAAGTCATGAGGCAACTTATTTGAAGACTGAGAGTTCTGCGATAAGAATGATATACGACATGTAATCTCTACGATAAGAATCATAGGAACACAATTCTTCTCTTTCTTGAGATGTGCTGTTACTTGAAATTGCCATATATGTTGCAAATCAACCTATAATATATTAAAATAGTTCAAAACGGAAAATGTACGCTCAGAAAAAAAAAAAAAAACTGCTGTTACAAAATTTTCTTTCTACCCTTGCGGGGTTTTTTAAGTTTTATTAACAGTTCAATTAATTTTGAAAAAGCAACTTTTCCTATAGCTCTTTGTTTTCAATCCACGCCTTGTTGCTTAAATGAGATTTCAGTTTCGCGTATTAAGCAAAGTAGAACAGAAAGCTACTATTTAGGCCGGTGTCTGAGTTGCTTCAAACAGAGTATGTTCTGCCTTTCGGCCACGTTTTTTCTCTGCTACTTAAGCTTGCTATTTTACGGCAGTGCATATTAATTGCCGGTTAGTCGACATCGGTGGTACGGCGGGAGCCGTATCTCTATGCAGCTTCGGCTGTTGATATGTTCAATTTAGGATTACTTTACGTTTCTATTTTGAGTTGCCGCCAAAAGTATTGGCGAGGCCCTGTAAGCGCCAGGAGTGCCAACTGTACACATTGTTCTTGAGTTGAATAAAAGGTCTTTTCATCCTTTTTATGTGTTGTTACTTGTACAAGTTGAACTAAGCGAATAGTCACTTTATAGTTTAAGACAAGATCTAACCATCAAAAGGAATTTTAGTACACCTAGAATATTGCATACATTTTACATGCGTTGGTATTTTTGGAAAAAGAAATATAATTTTTTTTAAATAGTAACAATAGTTAAATGTTTGGTGTTTTAATTTTATGTCAAAGATAATCCACGCGGTATTAAGGCAAAATAAGACAATTTTACTCACCTCTTCCCACCGGTCAAATATGCAGCCTTTGAGCAGCGCTGGCGGCACAGGTCGTTGCCAGTTAAATTCGTAGAGTTTGGTCATCTCTTCAGCATTCTTGATGACTCGTGATCAGTTAGGACAAGACTCATCGAAGAGGTCCGGACCTAATTGTTCCTGAAACAGAAAAAAAAAAAAATAAATAAATAAATAAAATAAATAAATAATAAATAAATAAATAAAAAAAAAAATCTGAAATGTTTCAGATTTTAAATTACGTCCAAAGGGGCGTTTTTTAACATTTTGTGTGTTACCTTTCTTTATTAAATATCATGTTCCTCGCACTTAAACCATAAGATCCAGTGCAACAGCAATATCGCAAAATAGTTTTAAAACGAGCATATCTTTAGAATTTCCGATACAGAGACTCACGCGCTGGAGATAAAAATGTTTTTTCTGCACAACGTTGCCATTGCTCGCTTTGAAATCCTTGAGTGTGTTAATCAAAAATTCGTCAAAGTTTTAAAAAATAGGAAATCGATCATAAAACAAATTTCAAATTTCAAATTTGGTCTTCCACATGCTCATATTCGTTGGAGGATTACGTTATTCAAAATTCGATGACTCTATGTACCGTTGTTTTATCACAATACGAGAAATATACATACATTTATGCAGATTTTTCATTATTTAATTCTTCAAATGTAATGCAGGACTCTAACATTTTTGTGGCAACAGTTTGAAAAGTGAACCGACATTTATGAGTCCGACGAAAATGTCAAAACGAAACTAATAGTCCTTCGGGATTCAAATCCCTTTGGACTAAAAAAAAAATCTGACATTTTGCTCTTATTTTGTTACATATTTAATTTTAACCGATTAATTTGTTTTTTTCCTTCATTGTTTTGAACACCGAAAACATGTGAATATCAGCATTAAGGGAAGGCTCATTTATCAAAGACTTTTTGAAAGAAACTGGATCGTATTTGTGTTACACATCAGAAAAGCCATGAAAATGTCCATGAAGCTAGCACATTCTCCGAGATTTGCAACTTTGTTGAACTGGCAATGTTCAGAAGACATAATCAATAGGCCTTTTGTGGGCCTTTAACTAAAGGGTTTAGAATTCTAAGCATCCAAAATAAATGGAATTTCAACTTATTCGTATATCCGTAAAATCTAAATTATAGAAGTATCTTTTTTCTATGAGGCATATTTTTGCTGAGCATAGAAAAGAATTTTGTCTTTGCATTATTAAAAGAATTTTGTCTTAATTTGACATATCGTATTTCAAAATGTTTTTAAGATACAATAAAGTCAAAAAGAAAGTTAAGAAATGAAAACTTTATTAAAGAAAGTTAAATCAAACGATTATTCAAAATACAGATAGCTAGTGTATGACATTGGCAATAAGTATGTATTGCAAATAAAGCCGACATATCATTAAAAAATATAAATTATGAGAAAGTACGTTTATTGCTTTTGAATTTCTCAACAGACTCTTAAGCAAATACAGTTACACTAAGAAAGATAAATTAAAGAACTTTTTAAAAGAATTTTAAAAAGGAACTTAAGAAGTTTTAAACTTAAAAAGAACTTTTCAAATTTTAACTATTTCGTTTTAGGATTGTTTGTAGCTACCAATTTTCTTCTTAATTTTTTAAGCAGCCACTCACAAAAACATCTTTAACTTTGAAAAAAAATTTTAGTAAATTTAATTTTAAATTCATTTTATATACTTTGAAACGAGCTAATCGAAACAATCGATAAGCCGAGGTTACTGCTAATTAGGGTTGAACTACTTTTTGATATGATTAGGAAAAGGTTTAACACCCGTATAAGCTCATTAATTAAAACACTCATACCTCAAGGCATATGCCTTGATATAGCTTGATATCTAAAATTGAACATACCAGAAATGGCGAATAGAATATTCTGACCTATTAGTTAACTCTTTTTATCTTTTTAGAAACCTCTTCCCTCAATCATTAGACTTCATGCACTGTACTGGAATTTGACTGTGAAGCAAATAGATCCTCCCTTTGTTCCAGCTTACGGAACGTATCAATTTGTGAAATTATACTTTCGTTTTCTGCCCGCCCATTCCAATTTTAGAATGGTAACGCGAATGACATTTTGAATACCACTTTGTCGAAATAGGTGTAATGAAAGAATGTCACAAATGCTTCAGTTAATTAAATGTCCCTTAAAATTCAGAAGAGTAAGGGAATAATTCTATAAATTTGACACACCATTTCTATAATTTTATATGACAGTAATGATTTGTACTTTATTTCCGCTCTCGTATTTTGCAAGCTTAATGACTACTATGAAATTAACGAGATAAAAATCAAACAAATACAATGCTTCTTTAGGTAATTAACCTATCATTTAACTTAAAACTCTGAACTTTATATATGTAGAGCATAATAACATTTCTTGTACTTTGCAATGGCTATCTGTGTCAACTATGCACAAAAAGCTTGATAACGCTTTTCAGTCCTAATTTTTAACGTGTCATTGTAAGATGATTGAAATAAGTATTCTTAATTTAACTCTGTACTTTTGTTCAATCCTAATTCTTCAATGCATTACTGCAAATTTAATTATTAAATCGCTCAACGGCTTCAGTTCAAGGACAGGTACCTACGGTCCAATTTCGTTTGAGCTAACTATAACATAACATATTATGTTGATGTTAATTTGGGAATGATGGCTGAACTGAATGTATTAGATATATGCACGCAATTAAAATTTAAGAAAACGCATAGCAATTGAATTAGGAAAGCCTGTATTTGCAAATTGTACCGAATAATAAGAAAACTAAATAAAATTTTGAAATACGTAAAGATGAAGTGTATGTGTTCCGAATGCTCAAAATGTTTCTAACTTTCTATTTTCCCCTTGCAGAATGCGCTCTATTATTGCAAATTGTACCGAATAATAAGAGAAATAAATAAAATTTTAAAATATGTAAAAATGAACTGTATGTGTTCCGAATGCTCGAAATGTTTCTAACCTTCTAGTTTTCACCTGCAGAGTGCACTCCATTACTGTGATTTGGAATTTGTTTTATTATCTATTTCATATTTTGTCAGACATTAAAGAATTTTTGATTAACAAACTCAACGATTTTTAAGGGGGAATGACAACAGTGTACGAAAAAAAAAACATTTTTATCTCCAGCGCGTGATACTATGTATCGAAAATTCTAAAGATATTTTAAAATTATTCTGCGATATTGCTGTTGAAATGAATTTTATGGTTTACGTGCGAAGAAAATGATATTTAATAAATAAAGATAACGCACAAAACGTTAAATAAACACCCCTTTGGGCGTAATATAAAATCTGAAAGAAAATCTGTGTAAAATCTGGTCAGAAAATCATGTTTTCCATTTTTCTGCAACCAAAATTATTAAATAAGAATCTCCCGTTTGCAAATCAGATTTTCTAGAGGTGTTTCATATTCATAAAAATCTTTCAGTTCTAGTTAATGAGCTCAGTTCCAATCAATCTTTACCCTCAACTTTTAAGGAAATAATTTCATAGTTATTTTCATTTTTCATCAGTAGATGGCGACAGTTACTTGACTTCCTTCCTCTCCTCATCTTATCACTGGCTTGTCTTTTATCATTTGCACTTCTGCAGCTGAAGGAGGGGGTTCTATATTTAAACCTCCGAAACTAGTCCTGCAAATTTATGAATATTACGATGATCCTTGTTGCCTTAACCTCTACAATAAGATTTATGTTCTTTTATAGACTGATTATTTTTTACTTGATGTAATATTGTGTAAATGTGGATTTTTCTGGTATGCTTTACTGATTTTTTAAATTAGAGACTTTATTTTACAAAATATTTTGAAAGCGACTCCTCCTTAATTTATTTCTTCTATCTTTGATGATTAGCAACTACTAGAATTTTGCATAATATTCAGTTTCATCTAATATTATGTGATTCAGGTTAAAAAAAGAGTATCAGAGATCTGTTAGCAATGGCTTTGGTAAGCTACAACAAAGAAAATATTACACATCCATTGCAGCGTCTTTTTAAGTTCCAATTGTACGCAATTACCAAGTATTCATTTAAAAGATATTTCAGCATATATGTATCTTAGCTGAATTGCATACATAATCTGACAAAGTAAATAATTGAAAAGACTTGGAAATATTTCAAATTATCCTCAACGGGGGGAAATGCGTGCATTTAGATGGTTGTATACGTAATTGTATACAGCACACGCTTTCACCGTTGCAAACAATATGTCTTGCTTGAGGAGTTATTTATAAAACGCGTTCTTTAGATTCGTTTTCAAACCGTCAACACAAGCAGGTCATTTGCCTCTGCTAGATTGATTTTTCTGGCTCCTTTACAGAGGATGCATTCCAAAAGCAAGAATCTGAATGACGAATTCCTTGCTTAACATAAAAATACACAAATGTCTCTCACAAAAATGCTGGAATATTTCGAGGAATTTCAGAAAATAAGTGAATTATTCTATGGAAGGTTATTCAGCGACAGCGAAACAGTTTAAAGTCAGACGGAAATGATTCAAGTATCTTGAAAAAGAAGGAATGGAAAAATTAGATACATTTATTGAAGGAAAAAAAGTATTAGATGCATTTATTGAAGTCAATTCAGGTGACAAATGAGTTAACCAATCCATAGTTAAATTCTGTCTAATTACAGGAAAGGTAGTTACTGTCAAGGTTTTGAACTTTGTTCCCCGGACAAAAATTAATCGACGGTCAACCGGAATTTTTCTATTATAACTGTAAAACAGGTTGTTAAGATAATGTTCTTACAGTTGAAGTTAACAAAAAATATGTACTAACATGGAATATAATTTTAACGTAAGTTCATAACATGCTTTCGAAACGAAACTGTAAAATACCGTTAATTTAAACGCTTTCCCAAAAGCTGGTTTTTAGACATAATTTAAGACATATATACTATAGGATGTAATTACTTCTAAATTTCTAACCACCTCTTCTAAAAACCATACTTACCTACGAAAGAAAGCATCGGAAAAATGTCTAAGTTTTTGGCGAATTTCTAGAGTCTAATTCATAAATTTGAATATACACTTTTAAAACACTGAATTTGTAATTAAGTGACACTCCAAACTTCAAACAAGTTTAATATGGCTTAACAAAATCGCACAAAATTAAAAAT